TAGAGCTAAGCAGTTTCTCCCCTGGTGTTCTCTCGGTGTAGCAAGGGTTCACTTCTACCCCCATTTGCTCAGTGGACCAGAAAGAAGTTAGATCAACTGGGTCATTAAGTCGAACAAGATGGATGCGGTTTACTGAACATAAACCATTGGGACCGGCTCCAAAAACTACCGCCCCAAGAGGGGATTGCCGCACAGCAAAATTTCCATTGACTAGCGTGTTGCCACCGTGGAGTCGAGCATGGTCGATGCCGATGAGGATGTCTACTGCTCCAGAACCCCGGTGAAGTCGCTTGGCGTCAATCTTGAACAACTTTGCATACTTCTCAATACGAACCGCCCTGACGTTTTCACTTATCAGAGGGATAGCTACGGCTTTCAACGCGAATTTCGGGCCACCATCAAGGGAACGAATCTGGAGAGTGTAGATCTTAGTTTGCAGCAACTCTTCGGTCCCCCCAACTTTAGTTATACGGACGCCAATGCTCTCACCATGCAATCCTAGGTTTTGGGCAAATTGTTCTCTGATTAAAGTTAATTGAGATCCTCCATCAAACAGGATATTTGCTTTAGCTTTCTGTTTAGATATAGAATTTATTGCACTGACTTCCAAGGTTGGGTGCAGGCTTTCTCCTCCCGCAATGACAGATACATTGTTATTGGACATTCGCTCAAATGGCGCTCCATGGAGCAAGGGGTGATGACTGAACTTGCATGCTTCACCGTCTCTTAACAACGTGCACTTTTTCTTTCTTCTACATGGGTTGCGATGAATTTTTAAACAAAAGTAACATGCATGTGCTTTCCTCACCATGTGTCCAACTGGTGGGGCTGTTTGCATAACCAACAATGCTGAAACGTTGGTTGTGGTGGTGGTGGCTGTGGTGGTGATTGGTTGCCCTCACCTAATACTTCACCTGGATTCTCAGTCCTTGAATCGAGCTTGTCCGTGCTGGTACCCGTGCTGGTACCCTTCTCACCTTTCAATGTGATGGTATTTACTGAGCCTTTGTTGTCAGCGCTTCGAGAAATTGTTCTCTGGGAACAAATGTCGGCTCCAGCAATCTTTCTCTTTCGTACTTCCTTCTCCATGCATTTTAGAAAGTTTTCAATTTTTGGAGTTACCCCCTTTTCTTCTTGGTAATCTGCCCACTTTAGACGGTCATTCCTTGATAATTTTTTCTCCATGGCACTCAGTGTTGTTGTATTATCCAAATCTCCTGGTCGATTCAGTTTCGTCAGCATGCTGAATATCTTCTCAATTAAAGCATGATACTGACCAAAGTGTGCATAGTCAAATTCATCCACTGGCTTTACTTTCTCCAAGTCAGACAGCAGGACATCAGAAACAATTCTCGGGTCGCCATACTCTCGATCTAATTTTTCCCATGCAGCATCGTAGTCCTCCTTGCATTTTATCAGGTCGGCACTGTTTTTGTCCAGGCAGCTACGAAGAACATAAAGGGCTTCCTGAGTTGTGTATTGCTTTTCCACCAAAAATTTGAAATCTCTACGAAAATCCAGATAATTTCGAACATTTCCATCAAATTTAGGAAGCGGTGCTCTCTCTGTTCTCAATTTCATGGAAGTTGGACTGGGTGAGGGTGCAGCATAAGTGGGAAAATTAGTTGCGGCAGCTTGGTTGTCAGGTGATAATTCCAATGTAACAGTGGGTTCCGTCTCCCCTGGTGGTACAGATTCTGCAGTCTCATCAATGCCTGATCCAGATGGTATATTTGTGTTGTTTGGGTCCACATCGACATCCTGAGAGCTCGCTGGATTTTCCACTTTATCGGTTGTAATATTGTTCTTCGGAGCCGGAGCCATGGTTATTTTATAATCATTTATCATTATACAAATAGCATCATATTCTTTTGACACATCTTCCATCCATTCTTCCTGTTCATAATCCTTTTCTTCTACAAGTATTGCAAACCCGTCATGCTTAGATAGTACTCTCTCATAGGCTGTTTCAAATATGCCACCTGCTTTGACAACTTCCGGTTCGGGCCATCCTTGTTCGATTAGCCGTTGGATGGATTTAGCACTACGGGTAAATGATGACTTAGCAATAGTTCTTGCCTTTTTCGCTTCATTCATTATTACAAATAAACAAATGACGATAAATATATATTTAGGCTTGACAATTGTTACCATAAGTTCCTCTACAGACTGAAATCTTAATAAATAATATAATTCTCCTTGATTTGAATGGTGAAACAACCTGTAGCGTTTAGGAACCTTTTGTTTATTCTCTTGTATGGATATTTGCCGATTCGTATGAAAGTTAAACTTTATTCAAATCCTATTAAAGAGATATCCATTACATATATTACGTATAATAATATAGTTATCAATATAAACAAATACCAGTGTGTATAAGAGATACTCCATTCCAATATAAACTTACAAGTTGCACAATCCTGAATAATAATAACCCAATTGTCCCGCAATCATTCACCGTCACTTTAAACTATAAATAATGTAATATTTCCAACGTATTTTGTCCTCAATTTGTCCTGATTTAATTTTACAACACATCAACAACTCGTGGTGTTTTCCGCTTAATTCACATCGTTCAAAATCCGATTTAGTTTCCAGTCCTACTAAACTGTAACGCAACGTTTCAGTTACAGGGTCTTGAAAAATAAAAGTACTGACTAAATTTTGTGTATAACACAGTTCTGAAGGAGTTCGAAAATAATGCTGACGTCAGCACTTTTATTTTTCAATACGCTATAACCAGGGACGCCGGAACTGGGGGGGGGGGGCAGGAGGGGCAGCCGCCCCCGTTGCCCTTTACCAGGAGGGGCAAGGGGGGGGGGGCAAAGGTGCCCTTTCAATTTAAAGGATTGTCTTGGCGAAATAGCGAATTGTCAGAAATGTTAGTGCAATTCTTTTACGAATTTGCTTCAGAAAACGCAAGAAATGCAGTTATCGAGCTCCACGAATAGCACAATCGCCTGGCAGAGACCCCCTCACATTCCTATCATCCAATAAATAGAAAACATTAGTAGGCGAAGTATAACTCTCGATGTTTTGCAAACATCTCTTAGTATATATCAATACAAAAGTGCTCTTTCACGAAAATATGCCCCCCTTACCTTCACATCGTTCCGAACCTCCGGCGTCCATGGCTATAACTCAGGAGGAATTAATCATATTGATACAAAATTTTTGGTGAACACTTGTGATAATAATATAAACAACATATAAAACTTCCAGTATAGAGTTATTGTTTGTTACTTACCGTCAAAATGGGAAAGATCCATCACTTTTGTAATAAAAGATGTTGCCAGACGTCCATGTTTATAAACAGTCGCATGGCTGCCATCGGAAAATATTGTGATGTTCCGGTATATTCCGGGAAAATGTCGTGATATTCCGTGATATTCCGCCATATTCCGTGATATTCCGCCATATTCCGTAATATTCCGGCATTCCGGGTTTTCACAACGCCCGATTCGCTAATGATGAGGGCATTTTTTCGTAATTCAAGGCAGAATCAGTTGTACCGGTTGTACCTGATTGGCTGAGATGCAAGCGCGGGAAGTTTCTTGTTTTAAATAGCAATAAAAGCAATTGCTTCTCACTTTGTCGTTGGGGACATGCAACGATGTAGAGTGTATCTAAAAGTCGAGAGTCGAGAGTAAAGGTCGAGAGTCGAGAGTAAAAGTCGAGAGTCGAGAGTAAAAGTCGAGAGTCGAGAGTAAAAAGTCGAGAGTAAAAAGTCGAGAGTCGATCGAGAGTAAAAAGTCGAGAGTCGGCAAATGTCATCAGAAACAACAAAGTCAAAATATTTTTATTTTTTAACCACGTTTAACACAATCTATATATATATATATATATATATATATATATATATATATATATATATATATATATATATATATATATATATATATATATATATATATATATATATATATATATATATATATATATATATATATATATATATATATATATATATATATATATATATATATATATATATATATATATATATATATATATATATATATATATATATATATATATATATATATATATATATATATATAAAATAATATAAACAATAATAATAATAATATGTATTATAACAATTATAATATGTATTATAATAATATAATATAATATAATATAATATATAATAATAATAATAATATATAATAATATAATATATAATATATAATAATATATA